GGTCTCAGAAGAGATCCCTATCATCATATAATATACATCAGCCTCCTCTCGCATTCTGCATTGGTCGCACTTGAAACCTGTATTGGTCAGATTTGAGGAGGAATTGTGGAAGGATGAAGAACTGTTGCGAACATAAGGAATCAATACTTTTGGTTGAGGAGCCCCAGGAAGCTTTCTAGGCGGGTTGGCGAAGCTTCCCAAAGCCGCCAAAATCTATCAGTTGTGCAAGCTAATTTCTGCATGGTCCATCTGAAATACCAACAACAAGTCACTGTAACATCACAAGCGTTATTCAACGTGCAAAAGCAAACCAACTCAGTGAAACTCCTGCAGCTGCCCATGGAGCAGTTTGAGATCCTCGCGGGCCTCGTCCGCCTGACGGCACTCAAGTCCTTGGCCTTGCTGGATATTCCTTGGTTCGCTCGCGGATGCTGAATGCGACGCCCGAAACAGCCACCGATCACCGTGATGCCGAGTGTTCAAGGCGAACTGAGAGATCTGATAGGTGTGAAAACGTGGGTCCTCTAGCCGAGAAATGGCGGAAGAAAATAACAAAAGGCTTCACCGATCCAATCGCTGGGGTCTTGCAAAGACTGACAAAACAATTTGCTTGTGAAATGGTTAATCAAGTGAAATGCTCTGTCCAGCTTGCCCTAGTGTCCAACGGATCTCTGGCTTCAACAAAGCAGCCTGGTCTGGATTTTCGAGCTTCTCCCCAAAAGTCTCTGCAAATTGCTCTGCACGTAGTGCATGAAAAATGCGCTCAGCCATCGGGGAATCCAGTTTGTCTTCACCAACTTCTTGAACCTCAGATTCGTTGTTCAGTAGATGTGCGGCGCTCCGGCACAAAGATTCCACCTCTGGAGCATATTTGTAGCCCAAAGTGGAAAATCCAACTTTCAGCCCCAAAGCTTTGAGACCTTGTTCTTGACCCGACACCGCCGCTTCCTCAAAGGCTTCACTTGGAAGATCCACGTCCCAACCGTCTCTGGATGCCATGGCATCTAAGAACAATCCCACATCTCGGACAGAGCGCCCCATCGGCCCGGTGATTGAATGAAGACCCAACATTGGCCCACCAACAGCTGTTGGTGTTCGACCTGGCGACACACGGAAACCGACACAGCCGCAGAAGGCTGCCGGCATCCGTAGAGAGCCACCGAGATCTGTGCCCGTGGCCAACCAACACTGATAACTGGCCAGTGCAGCTGCAGAACCTCCACTGCTTCCACCAGCTGTTGTACGAGTGTCCCAAGGCGAGACAGTGGTGGGAAAGAGCGAGTTGAAGCTCTGAGAACCTGAGGCACAACGAAGCTGTAGCTACAGCTGTTCTGGGAAACTCAACAAACTGCCTCCAACAAACATCAACAAACTGCAAAAAAAGGATTCCTTCTCGTCCCGTTCTTCCGGTACCATTTCTCGCCTGCACAAAACTCAGGGACGTTGGTTTTTCCAACGATGATGGCACCGTTCGCTTCCAGCTGTGACACCACAGATGCGTTGGTCTCAGCTATCCGCTCAGCGTAAAGCAGCGAACCTTCGGTAAAACGCACGCCTTCCACAGCGTGAGTGTCCTGAGGCAGAAGTTCGAAGTTGAAATTGGGTGTTGCAAATGTTGTTTTAGAGCCCGCTCCCCCCTCCTTAATTAAGTTGGCGCCTACTTAAGTAAGTAAGGGAGAGGTAGCTAGTAGCTTACTCAAGCTACTAGTATGGACGCAGAATAGCTCACGCTTCTTCAAGGAAGCTCCCCCCCGCCGCCCTACTTAAGGGAAGCTTCCTTGAAGCGCTCGCACTAATGATTTGGTTCCTAGATTTCTAGGGCAATGAAGCATTTGCTATCGTTGACCCTTGAGGTTTGAGATGTCCTTCACAAGAATCGGCAGGCCAAACAAAGAACCCCGACCAGAGGAGTAGCTGCAGGTGGACAGCTTTCGAGCTTTTTCTCTCGCACGTTCAAAACAAGTGATTGGAGTAGCATGGACCAAGTCATCGGTTGCCTTGATTCGTTCTTCGACAACGTCGATCAGCTCCAGTGGAGACACTGAGCCAGCTTTCAAGAGTGCCACAATTTCATGGGCCTCGAGCAAGTGGAGCTCTCGATTCATTCGAAAACGTCCAAAGAGCTTTGCAAGGCTCTTCATCGGGCTGAACCAAAAGTCTGACGGAAATGGAAGGAGGACACAATGGGTGTGCACAGCAAACAATGAAAATACTACACCACTGCAGCCGCAGCATAATTCCTGCAGTGTGCCTCCGAGTTAAAAGCATCGAGTTGCCGTTTTGGCACCAGAAAAACGCGATGGTCCTGGTGGGAAACTTCAGAATTGATCACGAACAATCAGCTGGGGTTCGTGTTTGATCTTGCTTCTTCGGTGCCATGAAACTGGAAGCTTCTCCTGGGGTTTCTCCCAAACGTATCGACCAGCCTCGAGGCAAAAACGTTTGGAACAGGTTCGAACAGCTGTTTCTCAAGCACTGAGGTGCCTGGACACCCCAGTGGTCATAGACTGTGATGGACACATCAGGGCCACCTTGGAGATGCATGTGTCATCTCAGCTGTGCCTACAATCCCTCGGTCCGAAAATCTCAGGCACTCGCACAGTTGAAGCAATCTCAAAGCGAAGAGGAGGCCAACCTGGTGATTAACTGGTGGCTCGGTGCCATCTCACTTTGCACCTGGTCACTGGTGATCTTGACAGCTCTGCAGTAAGTGCTGGGTTTTGCGCCGGCCCCCCACCAAGCACCTGGAGTTGTGCGCCGACCACCCCCCCAACATCCACATGCATCGAAACATCCTGCGACCAGGGCCCCGGCAGCCACTTCCAAAGCCTTGCGAGGCCTCGGTCACAGTGAAGAGCAAGCTGCTGTGTGCTGGTTGATTGCCACAACTCATGTGTTTTCCGCGGCCACTCACTGCGGTGCAGTGCCCTTGCGCATGGAGACGTCATGACCAAGGCAGAAAATACGACATCACGGTTGTTTGCTGTATCCAAAATGGCCTTGAACCCAACGGGTTTCGAGCGAAATGGGCAAAGGCCATGTGATGCTTTATCTGGCAGGAGTGGTGTCGCTATCCGGCATCAAATTAAATGGGCTGCCCTTGCAGCTTGATTCATATATATATATATAATGTTCCTGTGGGCAAGCTACATGGAACCTTCCAAAACACCCAACTCGAACCCTGAGTCTCTGGCGCATGTGCTGCAATCAGATTGGAAGAGATGCGGGTGTGCAACCTTGCAAGAGACGTATTGGTCCTTGCAATAGACCATTTTCGACAGGATGCTGAGCATTCTACGCAGCCAGGCGGAAACCTGACGCCTCGAGGTGGCCAAGAGCGAAAACACTGAATATCACCGAAGGCTGAGACCGATTTATGGCCTTCAGAAGAAAGGGAAGCTTCTAGAAATCTGGATCTTATCGTTTCTAAGGAACACAGTGTCTAAACCGGTCGGATTGATCTATATTCAAGGAATGCCCACGACTTTGAGCGGAGCAGCAGGAACTAGCCCTTAAACATGTAGGCAAGCCATGGAAATACCAAAGCAACGTGTCCAAGAATATCTCTATAAGCCTATTCTGACAACGAATCGGAACATCTCTCGGAACCATCCATGGTCATCATAGTCACACAGAATCCGCCCCGTGCCTTCTGCAGGCACTGCGAAAAGGCGGACTGTGAACGCTTGGAAGCGAAGTTGACCTGAGATGCCAAGTTTCAGTCATAGAAATTCTATAGAATCAACTTGAGATGATAGGGATGAGTCATACTTGCCGACTGAGGCGACTTGAAAACATCGCTCATCCCAATCACACAACGGTTTATAATGCCATCTCAAGCGCACAGCGGTCTTATCTTGAGCGGTGATCAGGCCCAAGCAGCTCCATCAACATACCTTTGTCGAAGCACATTGAAACCAGCCAAACAATGGTGCCAAGCGTGTAGTGGCTTGTGTGATCATGAGTCATGAGCAAGCGACTCTAGCTGGCTGGTACAAACGCCACCCATGCTCTGTTCGCAAGCTTCTCAATTCAAGACTGTCTGACACTGTATCTTCAAAACATACAGAACGCGGTAGGTTAAGTTCCAATCAAACTTCAGAAAGAACAATATATATTTATATATATAAAGCACGTGGGAATGCGTTGCAAAGTCGTTTAGAAACTCTCAGTTTAGCCGTGCTTTCTCAGCAGTGATGTATGCTTCATTCACGTCAGCAAGGCAAACTGCTGCCGAATAGAGGACTGAGCACTGACACGGATCTTCCAACCAAGCATGCAGCCTTTAGTTTGCTCAGCTAAATTGAATTCATGACTTCTGTTTGTACCTTGTCACTTTTGCCCTGCAGCGCAACAAGCAGTTCCCCGCAGACTTCTGCCTTCCGTTGAATGATAAGACAAGCAACGCATATTGAAACTGTCTCTGCATGGAATGGAACCTAAAATATATCCCGGCCCCAACAAACAATAATAACAGATCAAATCATATCCATGATGATTTCATGTAGGAGTGGAAGCTAAGAATGTAATTCAACGAAAACAGAGGAAGGAACCAGGCTAAGCAACTTTGGCTATGGTATCGGTATTTGTATGCAGCAACCTTGAAAAACAAAATCTTGCTCATGTCACACTTTGTATCCCCATAGTTGAGACATGTAACTGCAATACGAATGTTTACAAAAATCCTATATATAAATGTGTACCAACTGCTGCATTGACATTCCTTGACACGCTCAATGCCGTTTCCTGCTCAAGAGTCATTGATATCCTCGAGCTGACTGCATTGAGGGCCTTTAATTTAAGGTGAAGCTGGTTACGTCCGGATTCCATCCGAATGATCCTCTCTGGGTTTAAGGCTCCAATACGCAAGTGCGAAGCAGCTCCGACTTTGTCGGGCAAGCTCCACTCTTTGCGTGACGGAGCATTCTAGCAAGTGAAGGTGAAACGTCGAAAACCACCTCTCGTGATTCCAGGAAAGGAAGGTCTGACTTCGAATCAATTCATGCGGATGCCAGGTAGCAATGGTACCAACTGTTCACCGTTTTGTACCTAGGCTCGCTGCGGACTGTCACACGACTGGAATGGACGCGCAGCTCCCAGCAAACACGTGTGCTTTTGGATGCTTTTTGGACGTGTTTAGCATTATATGTTGAAAATTACTCCATACTGTATGGATGAGTAAAGTCTGAGTTTTCTGTACGTTGTGCGATGCACTTTGGACTAATAAATCGTCATATAACTATACCTGGTCTTTATACATCCGAAAGTTGCCAAGACACGCATGGAAGGCCACCGCACCTTTGTTGCCACAATCAGATCCCCAGCAGCGCGCGTCGCGTACATTGTTGTTGTAGTCGGAAATTGGCACTACCTGCATTGGAGCACAAGCATGTCCAGAAACTACAAATTTGTGAGAACATGCAATTACTATTGCAGTCTGCAATTGTTGACTCTGGTTGATACGGGGATGTGCATACATTTATATAAGGCCGTTGAAAGAACGCACACCGCTTGCAAATGCCAAGTTACCCCCAACATCTTCAGGCACTCTTGCATGTACCTCTTCAAGGGCCCTTTGGCCGAAGTGTGCAAACAAGCAAGTGACACGCAAGTAAGAAACCGAAGCAACTGAAGCGAAGAAAGTACTCACAACTTGAAGTGAACTGTGAAGGTCTTGCCTGTCTTCACCCCAAGACCAGAAGGGAAGCGATTGCTCACAACGAGCATGCGAGTCTTTGTATGCCCCCAAGGATGCTTTTGAGAAGACCTTGGGACGCGACAGAGGCGCGAGTTCTTGAGCAACCTTCCCAAGAAGACCTTTCCTTTCCCTCTTTGTGTTTTGATGTAGACTAGGTGTAGCAAATTGGTGCCAAAGCGCCTCTACTGCTCCATACATGGCTGGCGCATGGACAGCACAGTTCAGAAAGAAGACGTTCCTTGGAAATGTTTTGAATCTCTCGGCATTGCTCGAACCCTTCAGGACCAAAAAAGGATGATTTTTCTCTCTTGATTCATCACTCGTCAAGGGCTTCGGTGCTGCGAAGGACAAATCAAGATATTGCTTCGGTGTGCTGACCCCCGAACCTTTCACCAAACATCCGCAAAACATCGGCTGGATCGGGAGTCTTTAGTCTCAGCCACCCGACGTCACCCAACTGCTGACCCCTTATCATACTTATGTCCTTACGTTTCTCGTTCTACGAGTAGGTGTTCTCCGCTGGCCCAAGCGGTGTGTTTGGCGGGAAAAAGCACTGAAGCCATCATGCGAATGTGACCACAGACAGATAGCAGAAGCTAGGTCACTGACTGAAGCAGGATAGCACAAAATGCAACCAAAAGAAACAGGAGGTTGGCAAGGCCACCAACCAAACGAACACCACAGAGAGACCCCCCTGCAAAAAAAACACCAGCTATGACTATCGGATCACTCTTATAGTGACCAGTGGGTCACACCGCAGCACAAAAGGCCATCGACATAGCAGCACCCACCCCGCAGCGAAGCTCCAAAGCGCACCGGCGGCACCTCTTCCTATACTTGAAGCAAGAACCCCAATAGCTCTCGCTCTCTGGGGAAAAGGCTGTCATCCAGATCAGCTCTGGACTTTCACGAGTGGAGGGCACGCTTGATTCGTGTGGTGCAAGGAACGACTTGTCAAAACAGAAAAGGTACTTTTCTACTTTGTGAGGATAGCAGTGCCGATTGAGGAATGCAGAGTCAAATATAAATACGTCAAGGGACTGCCCCACACGTGATTGAACGTGCCAACGCAAGCGATCAGCAAATAGGACGGCATCTGGATCCACCTGCATCAGTTTTACAGAGTGGCTGAAATCCTCAAGACAGAATAACTTCAGTCTAGTCCTATAAGTAACTTACCTCATTTGTACATGTTACAAGTTCAGATTGCAAAGACCGTGTCGACTGCTGCGAATAAAAAAGAGACCTCGTCCAACAGGGCACCACAAAAGTCGAAGATCAAAGCAGCTGGGTGCAGAAATGTTGTCGAGGCATCAACTTCAACTCTGATGTCCTTCATTTTTTGATGTCGCCTTCGCGAGGAAATCGTACGTGTACCAAAAATTGCCATTGAGAATGTCCAGCCAGGTTCTGCCGCATGCAATTTGACATGTCCCAGCAAGGAAAAATAGTATTTGTACATATATATATATAGAGAGAGAGAGATAATATAATATTATAATATATATATATTCATTCTCTGCAGAACAAAAAGTGTGAACGAAGTGAAAGTAGCAATGCGGGACACAGCTTGGCACTACACTTCGCGCAGTGCAAATCTGGGGCCCCAGTCTTCATGAAGACCTGTGAATTCGCTGCTGTCTGATCAACGCTGACTCCGGCTGCGGTAGAAGGGATGAGTTTGGTCCTCAGGCACTTCTGCCCATGCACACATGGGGTTTGGGCGAATGGCATGAGGTGCAGTGCTTATGTGGACATCACAGTGACAAGAAGACATGAAGGCATAGCGAGAGTCATATATCCATCAATATTAATGCTCTGATCACTGTACACATCATACCTCGGCAAGACAAAGGACAAAAAAAAGCAAGCCTCATAATGTCCCTGGTGCATGGTGCCTCCTCGCTCCCCAAAATGTTCTTTTGGATGATTCTGTTCCAAGCTGCCCGTTGCAGCCAAAAATTCCAGTGCCACTCTGACGCTGCATAAACATTGCATCCTGAGAAGGACGTCAAAATACAGTCAAGTTCATGCGCTTCTCAGGCAGTGCTGTGCAACGAGGGTCCATTTCTTCACCGCCGCGGGCCACTGAGAAGCAGTAGATTCTTGGAGCTGCCGCTGATGGTACTGTCGGGACTGGATATTCGCCCTTAGCGCAATTCCGGCATGCATGAACTTCTTGTCTGTATCTTCAAATGAGCAAAGGCACAAAGTCCACTGCAAAAATGGGACATGAAACAATGTTCAACACCAATTTTGACACGTTGTATATGTTTCCAGGAGCCTCAAAACCTTAGGCTCAATGTTTAGCAGTTTTTTGGACCTCCTGCCGTCAACTTTGCAGCACTTTCCACCGTTCCACCTGGCAATTGCAATGCTTTGGCTTTTGTTGCATGTCGGGCCAGCATTGGCTTTCCTTGTTTGTCTTTGGGTTGCTTGCTTGGTTGCTGGCGCTTGGCTTTGAGTGGCTTGGCTTTGTCAGAGCTGGACAGGGTTGGGGGAAGGGCGCAGCACCAGTGATTCAGTGATTCCGTTGGTCCGTCTGTCCGTCCGTTCTTCCTTCCTTTTTTCCTTCTTTCTGGCTTGCAATTGGCTTGCTTGCGGGCTGGCTGGCTTGCTTCCTTTTGCTTCACTTGCTGGTGGTGGTCCAACAAGCAAAACACACACAGCAGAAACACAACAGGCAGAAAAGCGAAGCAAGGAGAAAGAGCAAGCAATGCAAGAAAACAATTATGCAAACAAGAACTGTAACAGTAACAAAAGAGACTGAACAAATAAACAGAAAAACAACAGCAAAATAGCACAACAACCGGAAAGCAACAAAGCAGAAGCAGCGAACCACAAGTGCTTCTGAAAAGTATATACCTAAAGCCCCCTTTAGGTTAAATAGAAAAATAACTAGAAAATACCCATTGAACAAAGAGTGGACATTCAGTTCAGCGCGACCTGCTTGGTAAATGAGGGAAGACATCTCCGTGGCATTGAAATGACAAGATATGATGAAATAAGTCCCTGGTTGCACCAAACATTGGTTGATGCACCCGATAGCAAATCTCTTGGCCTAGCTGCTGGGCAGGGGCGTTGGCATCCCGCTTGCCTCAGCTTCAGCTCCAACAATTCAAATCCACTCAGACGACAGAACTGCAGATCGCTTTTCTCATGATTTGTTTAACCTTGGATTATTCTGCATTATGTTACGTTGTTGTTGTGTTTTATTCGGAAAGGGTACAGTATGTGTTTTTCCGATCGGCAGCCTCGCGGATGTGCTTTACGTCCAACGGATTTATCTGGCACACCCAACTGCCGCTAAGAAGCTTGTTTTGCCAAAGCCATTCTTGAACCGTATGGCGATTGGCCTGCCTGCGCAATGTCTCAAGGATACGCGAGAATGAACGACTGATTACGATGATTGAAAGTTGACGCCGTCGTATCAGTTACATTGTTCTTGCAGTTCTTGACCCCTTGAACTTGAAAGTTACATCCTTGTGATGTTGTACTTGAACGGTTGTTCGATCAGCCCGATCCACTTGTGCCAAAGCACCTGGGCGAAAAGCAGGAAAAGTGACTGTCAGTGCTGTATGATGGTTTTGAGAAGAAGAAGAAGAAGAAGAAGGAAAAAAGAAGGCCCCTTTGACAAGGCCCTCTTTAATGAGGCCGAAAGAAGCTGGCCCTTCCCTTCTTTTTCATGCCACCATGCCACCATGCCATCACAACTCAAGTCAAGGAACAGCACCGTAGCAAGAATCTCCCGGGACTGCTGTGTGACAGTCTTTTGGAGCCTCTTTCTCTTTCGTTGCCTCTTTCTTTGCCTCATTGATTGTTGCATTTTCGGTCGCGTTGGCCCCCAATTCTGCAGCCTCAGTGTAGCAAACCATTGCGAAGCTACGAATACAAATCATTCTCTTGTTTCCACAAGCAAGGACATTGGCATGTGAACAATAAACAAGTTACCAAGAAGGCCGGGCCACTTGACACGAGGAGTTTGCGTTCCCCCCAGCACCAATGAGTCAATAGACTAGAACATTAACATGTGAACCTGAATCAGCAGCAAGCTCAATGCTTAAAAAGTCTGAACTTCGAAGAAGCATTGAGTGGTGCGAACTCTTCTTTCATCGTTGGGATCAGTGTCCGATCCTCAGATGGTGCAGAATCCACGTCATTGTGGTGAAAATTGCCAACGTATACTCCCAAGTCAGTCATTTCGCTGAGTTTCTCTGAAGAGACAAAAGAATAGTGCAAGTCCCAAAAGCAGCAAACCCGTCACCTGGCTCGACTCAGCACTCGCCCGCTGGTTTCCCTCAATATCTAGAAACCGCATGAATAGTGCAAGCTCTTCTTCAAGAAAGCTTCCCCCGACCCTCAGGGGGGAGCTTCCTTGAAGAAACGTGAGCCTTCCTGCGTCCTGCCTAGGAGCGAACTTAGTCCAGTAGCATAGCGATGGCCTCCAACCTACTAGCGATGGCCTCCAAAAAGGTCCTACCAAGTATTATATAAGTTACCCTAAAAATCTAGCAACCACATGAACAGTGCGAGCACTTCTTCATGGAAGCTTCCCCCCTGAGGCGGGGGGAGCTTTCTTGAAGATGCGTGAGCTTTCCTGCATCCTAGCTAGGAGCTCCCTAGCTACTACTTACCTCATCTCTTACAACTCACAACTTAAGTCTACTGTCAGGCGATCCGCCCAAACAAAATATCCCTTGATTTGTCTTCCTTTCAATAAATCCCAAAACGAAATCTCGGCCTGGAGTGCTCTTTTCACTCGTGCACCGTGTGTAACTCGTCCACCAAAAAAGCTCAATTCAAATTCTTCGGCAGACTCCTCCTGACAAGAAACGAAAGCTCTTATACAAGCGAACCAAGGAATTCACCAATAGCTGTGCACAAGTGGTGACCAATGCATCTACTTTGAGAGGGCAAAAGGCTATTCTGTGTCCTTGAGATCCTGCAAACGCAGGTCACGAGCACGACAAGCCTCCCCTTTGCGTCGAGCATTTGAACGAAAGAATGCAAATACAAGGGCGATGATCCTAACCTACTAGCGATGGCCCCCAACCTACTAGCGATCGCCTCCAACCTAATACTAGCAATGGCCTCCATCCTAAGAGCGGTTGCCTCCAACCTACTAGCGATGGCCTCCATCCTAAGAGCGATTGCCTCCAACCTACTAGCGATGGCCTCAACCTACTAGCGATCGCCTCCAACCTACTAGCGATCGCCTCCATCCTAAGAGCGATTGCCTCCAACCTACTAGTGATGGCCTT